GTTGGTGGCCTCAAAATCTCGCCCTTCAGCACAAGTTGCTGAGGCTTGGCCGGGCCTGGTGGGGAATGAGAAGTTCTCCCTCGGCGCTGTCCTGCCTGGGCTCCACCAGAACAGAGCCCGCGATGAGGCTTTGTGGGTATGTGGTTAGATTGTGAAAGTCACCCCTGGAAACAGAAGTGGGAGACCAGGAAAAGTGAGGCGGGGAAGGAAAATCGGTACCGGTGCGCTCTTGAGCTGGTCACCCCTGTGGGGGCCACTGAGGCGGAGCCTCGAGGAGCTGCCTCAGAATGGACTGTCGGAGGCAAGGGACCCCCGCATCACCCAGAAGCTGCCCCTGGGGACTGGACTCCCTCCTACTCCCAGGCTGTGCACCCGGGCTCCTGCCAACCCCCCGAGGCCCCCTACGTCACAGTGCCATCAGTCATACCTGCCTGAAGCTGGGGCTGCAGCAAGTGCCAAGATTACAGGAGACGACGCACAAGAGGTGATCTCGTACACACCTGTACACAGGTGCCTTACCCCTCGGTCTGGAGGAAGGGGGCCTGGACCCGGGGTCTTCACACGTCCTGGATTTCGGGACCCGACATGTTTCCTACCCCTTCCTGATCTGTGCCTGTGCACACACTGGTCCAGGCGGCCTTCGAAAGGGCCTTTCCCTCGACACCCCCGTGACTTCCTCCTCTGCCCAGCCCTAGCAATCACCTGACGTTACTCTACATCGATAAAGGCCAAGTCTAAACAGCCCCCTTTCAGTGCCCCTCCCACTGGGTGTCCAGTGGCATTTTTCTTTTTTCCTTCGGACAGCATCTCACTCTGTCACCCTGGGTAGAGAGCAGTGGCATCATCACAGCTCAGTGCAACCTCCAACTGACTCCTGGGCTCAAATGATCCTCCTGCCTGAGCCTCCCGAGTAGCTGGGACTACAGGTGCGTGCCACCACACCTGGCTAGTTTTTTCTATTTTTTGTAGAGACAGGGTCTTGCTCTTGCTGACTGGTCTCGAACTCCTGAACTCAAGCGATCCTACCGCCTTGGACTCCCAGAGTGCTGGGATTACAGGTGTGAGCCACCACGCCCGGCCTCTGGTGGCATCTTGATAGTGGACTACCTCCTCAGCCCGGTCACCCCCCTTCATTAGCATCCCTCTTCCTCCGCCTCCAGGCAGGAAAGCCCAGGCTCTGCCCTTAGCGATTGTCCCCTCTAGTTCTACACCAGTCACTTCCTCTCCTAGGCGCCCTCAGGTCTCATCTGAGGAGCCTGCCTCCCCTGGAGGATTAGCTCTAAGGACAGACACTCTCCACAGACCCACAGCCGAGCTCCTGCTCCCAGACACTCGCCCAGCACTTGCTACTCCCTCTGCGGGACTGACTGCTGTCGCCTGGAGCACGTGTCCAGTTTTCTCCACCAGGTCACCCAGGCTAACAAGGGCAGACCTGCCGCGTCTACAACCCTGCTACGTCATGCAGAGCCAGAGCAGAGGGGCCCCATCTGTCTATTTCAAATTTTGTTTGAGACAATGCTGGATTTAGAAGTTAGATTTCTGTAGTCATTATCTGACCAAATGCCACCTTCCAGCTGAAAAAGGGAAGACCACAGAGCCTGTGACCACTGCCAGTGGACGCTAACCACGCCCTTCCTGCTGCTCAGGGAGCCGCCGCAAACCAGCACGTGTCCACTCTCGGCTGCCCAGAGGCCACGATCCTCACCGCCACAGTGCAAGGCTGTGCAGAGGCTTCCCCCAGGGACGAGGTCAAAGCCTGGGCAAGATGAAGAAAGAAAAATTAACAACAGGGAAAAAATTCCTCTTACTGAATCTCTACATTTATGCCCTCAACTATCACAAATTTTATGAACTCATACACCTCAATCTGATCCTAACTATAAGATTATCTTTATAAAAAAAGAATAGACGTTTAGGTAGAGCAAAAGCAATCCTGGCTGTGTCTTTCCACAGGGCCTAGTTCTGGGGAAACTGTACACTCAGAAATCCCAAGGCCCACTCAAGACGGAGGGAACCCCGCTGTGGATGAGGGTGGGGTGCGCTTTGATGGACAGTGGGGTGCAGAAAATGGTTTTGTTTCATATTTTATTACATCAATGGCTTGAAAATTTTTATTTAACTTCAGCAAATACTGGAAATAGAAAAATGAATTCTGCAGAATTTCACAAATAAATTTTCCAATTTCCACTAACAAATGTTATCATTCAATGGCTAAGCGGTTATAATGCTATGGACATTCACCACAATGAATGTGCTGAAATAGAAAACAGGCAAAGAGAGACAATAAAATATTACTTACAACAGCATTATTACAACATATTTCCTTTAAAATTCCAACATGGATTTTATCACTTCAAAAGATATACAGCATTTCCATTATATTTCCAAACTTAACGTTATACATCTTTTAAAATCTTGAAAAATTTTTTAGCAGTCTAAAAAGCACTTAGCAAAGTCGAGAAGTCTACGTAATGGAACAGTACCCACCCCAGTATAAACTTTCATCTTAGGAGAAGGTGGCTGTAAACACTCATGATTACACAACATGCATAGGCTATGCTGACCTTCCTCTTCCCAACGGCGACGTCGCTGCAATTGTGCTTTACTACAATTAGGAAAAGCTGCAGAGATCCAGGGAGTGGCAGAAACAGCATTGCACAAGATCACTAGATTCTGGTGACCTAACTACCTTGAGTCAGCTCGAGGCAAAGTTTCACTGATACTGAAGCCTGAATCCTGGGTCATTAGCTGTAGAAACAGGCTAGACGAGGGACAAAAGGAGGATCTCATCTGAGTTGGCTCCATCTTTGCGTTACTCACACAGAAGCGGGGATCAGTTAGTGTAATGCACTGTTTGGCTTATTTTTGGTGTGCGATTATACCAATAGTACATCTGATATTCAGAAAGACAAAAATAGGGTATAGTTAAAATTTAAAGTGACAATGAGCACACTTAGAGTGGTGTGTGATATTTGAGGAAACTTTATATATCAACAGAAAACTGCTTAATTAGTCCACCACAGTAAGCTTTTAAAACCCAACTACTTTTTCAATTTTGTTTTTTGATTAGAGGTTTGTGAGCATCAAAGGGTCTTACAGGCTAAAAACTATCAAAAACCATTTTGAGGAAGCAGTGTCTTTTCTTTTTTTTTTTGAGACAGAGTCTCACTCTGTCGCCCAGGCTAGAGTGCCGTGTCGTCAGCCTAGCTCACAGCAACCTCAAACTCCTGGGCTCAAGCGATCCTCCTGCCTCAGCCTCCCAAGTAGCTGGGACTACAGGCACACGCCACCATGCCCGGCTAATTTTTTCTATATATTTTTAGTTGTCCAGCTAATTTTTTTCTATTTTTAGTAGAGACGGGGTCTCACTCTTGCTCAGGCTGGTCTTGAACTGCTGACCTTGAGCGATAATCCTCCCGCCTCGGCCTCCCAGAGTGCTAGGATTACAGGCGTGAGCCACGGCGCCCAGCCAGGAAGCCGTGTCTTGACAAATACTCTACACCAAGACAATGCAGTGGGTGTGTTACACTAACCTCCGGCTCCTGCCAAGACCCGCGCGCACCGTGTGCCACTACTATCTAACCAGCGCAACTGAGGCATGGTTACTTCCTGGTTGAAAGAGCTATATTACAGAATTGATCACTGTTGCAGACCAGTCAACACAATATTCAAGTAACAAGGTGTTTAAATGGATAAGTGAAAAAAAATTTTACCTAACACTTTACACATCTACATAAAATTAAATAGAACAAACTTTTAATGCATACGCAATACAATTTATATGTTTTAGGATTTCTAAACTAAAAGTTAAACTATCATTTGCGTCAATGATACTATATTTTGCACAATAACTTATACTTAGGAGAAATTTTCCACAAAAATATATAATTATGACATTCACATTGATAATTTTTAAGAAGACAAAGCTTAAGCGAACATTCCATCTGAAGCAGTCATCACATCCCAAGCACTACCTGCCAATGCACCTAATTCTTGATATGTTAAAGAGTCTTCACATAAATAAGACCAAACCGCTTAGCTTTTAAAGCCAAGTGATTTCCCGCATTTACATCATTGCAAAGACAGTGCAATGAAGAAAAGTGTAAAACACAGTGCTATCCTATGCGTGAAACTACAACAAAGGCAGTCAGGCAAAGACAACTACCCTTTTTTCCCTCTGTCAAATGAAAGTGACATGCTCCTTCCCCCTGGGGAGAAAGCCGAACTCAGCTGCTGTGATCACAAGTGCACCAGCACGGTGACTCCTCCGGCTGGAGCCCCGTGAGGGGATAGGGCGGAACACAGATGACCGCCTGGCACTGCTCACCGCCGTGCCTCGCTGTGTAAGAATTAGCATCAAGCTTCCAAGCAGTGCCAGGAGGGATCAATTCTTCAGGAAAACAGCCTGGGTGGGAAGAGAGAAACACATCTCCAGGCAGAGCGAGAAACCCACTGCCGCCATGGCCTACTGCTTCTGTTAACAGGAAGGGGATGGGGAGGGAAGCAAGGAGAACTCAAAGCTTCAGTCTGTGTGCCTTAGTGTCCCCCTTCAGTGCAAAACGTAGGTGACTCCTTCCTACGTTCTTCCTGCCACCCTTTGATCATCCAACAGGCTACAGTAACAGAAGCCCCTGCTTCCTTACTAGTGTTTCTGTGCCACCCTGTCCCCAGGCAGGAGCGGCACCTGGGGCCTCCTCTGACACTGTCCTTCACAAGCTTTGACTTGACTGACAGACACCTGGTATAGGGACAGGAGGATAAATGTTGGGAAAGTCCCTTTTGAATGACCTCTCTCCAGACTTCTAAAAAAGAATATACAATTTCAAGAAACCTAGGTTTCTAGCTGACCCTCTTTCTAAGAGAAAATCAGCTGACTTAAAAAAAAAAAAAAGGCAAGGTGCTTGGGAGTCAAAACACATCAAATTTTAATTGCATATTTTAAATTCTTAAGAATTCTGGTTATGCCTTAAAGCATCGGCATTTTTTTTTTCTTTTTGGTATTGAAAGCAGAAAAAAATATTTAAATGATGCAAACAGCAACAACAACAATAGCTACTTGAATGTATGTAGTGCAGTGTGAGCTGGCCGTGGGGAGCAGGGTGCGCTAGAATGCAGTCTGACAGGTGCTCCTCAGCCCCCCGAAGGCCCACGGTCTGGTAGAACAAAAGTGATTCTGGAAGTCTCAAAAGATTTCTTAGAAAAATTTACTTGTTCCCAGTCCAACCAAAAGGCATTACATACTGCTTTGTAGACTGTTTCTTTTTATCTTGGTCTCACTAGAACAATGCGTTGATCACTTCTCTGTCCTGTACTCTGATATTAAGAGAGGGGAAGGTGTTTGTGTGGTCACATCAGTACGTGAAGGACACAAACGCACATGCGGCGGCGTGCCATCTCAAAGGCCAGACATAGCAAGAGAACGGGGAACAATGTGCCGCTTTTACAAAATCATCACCAGCTATACTAATATCCGTTACTGAGCTAACCTGACATTTAAAATCTGCACTGTCAGAATCTGCAGCAAGCTCTCCCGTCTCCTAATCTCAGTGATGTCATCTTTGGCTAGCAATAAGCTTTAAAGAAGTAAGACACCAAAACAGAAAAAGGGTTGATAACATGGTTGCCAAAAGGAGAAGGCACCAATTCCAAATGTACAAGCACCAGGTACAGTGATATGGACTGAATCTCTTGGAGTTGGGTGGTGGTGGTGGAGGGGAGGGGCCTGTTGGGTGGGGTCAGGAAAAGAAGGGGTGGCATCCACCCCAGGATCACAATGTTGAAAGTTGAAGGCAGAAAAGCGTTGAGGTCCACATTCCCTTTAAGCTACAGTGTCCAAGGACAGTTGCTGTGAATGAGATTTTTACTATAATACTTGGGAAGGGAGAAGGGAGAGGTTTAAAATAAGCCCACTAAATTTCTAAACCATAATTAGACCCTACGTTTAGGAACATGTGACTTGCAGCAAGATGCCTGGCACGATAGGGGTTACCATACAGTCTGCCAATATGGTGTGGCTTCCAAAGAAGCATGATCTCACTTAGGTGGTTGTCTCAGAAAAGAACAAGAGAAACCTTCTAGAGGGCCAACAGGGTCGCAGTTACTCTGAGAATTACGCACAAAGTAGAAATCGCAGGCCATGCAGGAGCAGAGTGGTGCCTTCTGAGCAGACTCCCTGTTCCGAAGCTGTCGACTGGGAGGAGCTGGCATCGCTGGGCCCTGAGGGCTCCGACAGGAGGCGGCTCCTGGAGTCACAGGCGATGTGCAGGCCGGGAGGTTCCCGAGCACTTAGGCAGAGAGAAAGTGAGAAGTGCAACGGAGCTCTCCGGGAAGTGGTGCCAAAATGGAGGGACGAGCAAAGAATTAAGGCAGGTGTAGCACAGGACCGAAGTGTATGCCTTTTTTGGTAATAGCTGCTTGTCCACAGAGATGTGATGCAGATGGCTAGGTGATGTCTCGGAATACCTGATATCCTGGATAACACAGTAGTCCATACCAAGTGTTCAAAGCTACCAAAGTTTCTCATGAGGCAGATGCGTATCTGACATCAAGAACAGAAGCAGCCTGAGGGGAAGAGAAGAAAAAAGCATCAAAGAGCAGGTTACCACCACAAACCCGATTCCAGGGAGCTGAAAGAGGGAGGGGGCAGCCACCAGATTTGTACAGCAAATGCGGTGGGCCGCAAACACACGTGCTCCTATGGGCGGGATAAGAGTGTGGCCTCTACAGCCAGATGTCTTGGGCTCAAATCCTGGCCTGGCCACATTTTAATGATGTTAGCTCAGACGAGTTATCATTCTCTTTGAGCTTCAGTTTCCTCATCTGTGGAATGGACACAACAATGATGCCTACACATCACAGGAGTGAAGAAAAACAACTGAGAAGGGCTCGGGAGCACCGGGCTCGGCGCGCAGCAGCGCTCAGGAGTGGCAGGAGCATGACCACTCTCGCCGGCTCAGGAGCTGCAGCATCGAGCCCATCGCCATAGCCACAGGTTTCTGCTGGGACATGGGAACACGCGAGATCACAGGATTTTCCTTAAAAGCTACAAGGCATCTCCTAACCCCCCTCTCCCATTTTTGACAACTGACTCCCACACCCAAACCTGTTCCGTGGCATCTCACGGCTTGCTGCTACCTCCCAGCGCCTTCCTGCGGGGGAAACTGGGCCGTGCAGCCACGCCCGAACGTAGCTGCTCCTTCCACTGGAACCACAGTTTACAAGAGCTGTTCTTAGTTAAGCCAGGAGATCTCTCCTCACTGGTAATATACTCAATTATTTCATAACTTTAGGTGGGACTATCTCTAACCCTGTCGTTTTTGGCACAAGCCCTTTCCTCACTACAAGGTTGGATGTGACACCCCTCAGTGAACAAATCCAGATGTAAAGTGACTGGCACTGAACTCTTTCCTCTGCCCAGCCCCATGCTCGTCCGCTCTGGGAGAGGGGGCAGTGATGAGGGGGTGGGACAGGACAGACGGGGAAATGGCCAGCAACCCTGGCACAGGGAGCAGGGAAGCTGCAGACGGTCTCTGCAGCCCAAGTAATCTTCCTGCCTAATCTCAGCTGACTGGGCAGATGAGGTCAGTGCTGCCATTCCAGAAATCACTACAATGTCAGCCACCATCTTAGAAGTTCCTGCCAGCCACAGAATCATCCTCACCAACATTTGGGGCCAGTCAGCCCCGAATAGCACCCAAGGCTGGACGATGTGGACAGCAGGGACAGGCCGCAGGCGCTCCTGGCTGGCTGTGCAGACTCACCCAGTAAGTTCACGGGCCTCACAGTGACGTGACAACGCGTCATACGACTGAGCTTTACTGACACTCCTCAAGGCACTTCCAACTTACCGTTTCATGACAGATTTTACTGTATTGATAATGTGGAATATTTTGTGGTTGGAGGAAACCAGGAAGGAATAAAGAATTTACCAAGAAACTAAAACGTGAATAATATACAGTGACCAGGAATTGACTGGAGTCAACACACTTGCATCACGGGATTTACAGGTAAAAGAGAAGTTACTGATACAGCTGAAACCTAAAAGTATTTCTACAGCTGAGAAAAGTCACCGCTTCAGACACTGGCCAGAACACCAGGCACGAAGCTGGCAGGGTAGAGGTGGTCCTGCGTCAGACTCACCTCGTCTTCCTCTTCAGGCATCTTCACGGAATTGTCTGGGGACTTCACAGGTTTCTGGTGACCGGGCCCGTTGGTCTCCTCTTTACCGTGCTCTGCCTCCCACTCTTGTAAAACTTCATCTATGTTGAAGCGGCGTCGATAATTTACAAAAAAGTTTTTCACTTGTACTACTGATTTGTTCCCAATCACATCTGAGATTGCCTGAAAATCTCGGCCGTATTTCCTGATGGCTACGGATGTAAGAAAGCATTTTTTTTCAATAAAAGAGAAAAACAATTTTTAAAAATGACAATTGAGACTTATTTCTTTATCCAGATAAGAAAATATATAAAGTCTTAACAGCAGGCACTAATTTAGCGTTTTATAAAAGAATGGGAAAAGGTGGTAGGTAGTCAGCTCTAGGTATATTCTGCAGGTGACTGTTCAGAGAAGTTCGGCAAGACCCTGCCATTTAGAAATGTCTTCCCAGCACATGTCACCCGACAACTCCCCATGTGCTGGGCATTCTGCATTCGTCTTTATAGGATCCCCAGGTTCCAACACCTCCAACCTTAACATCACACCAATATGCTTCTTTTTGGTCTTGTACTTCCTGACATTCAGAGGTCACAAGTAACTGCTATTAATAAAGCGAAATACACCTTTTGAAAACTGAGGCTTCCAGGTTAATTTTGAGAACTTGTGAGGAACAGGAAAGAAAAGTCAAGTCCAAGGGGATGCAGTGACTTGGCTGAAACGACAGCCCAAAGGAGAATACGGCCTCCTCCGAGAATTTGCTCCACGTGGACGAGGTGCTACGAGCGGGGGGACGTCATTGTCCCTGTAACCTACCGCTGCCCTAAGCTCTCCGTAGGGAGAACTTCCCCTACCTTGCACGGCGAGGAGCTGCTCTTCTGTGGTCCAACGTGCGTTACATTTCTGAATGACCTGGGTATGCAAAATGAGTCATTTTAGCACATTACATTTAGAAGTGAGTATATCCTTATTAAGGTTTAATCAACCTTTCTTTTTCTCACATAAGAATTTTAACGTCAATTAGGTTTATAAAATTATGTCCATATACCCTTCGTTCTAAGAGATGTATCACACAGATATTAAATTCTTAAACACGTAAAACTTGGGTATGACTTCTGAGATGATGTCAACATAATCCTACCTCGGGAAGTCGATACGGCTCTATTCCGCCATCAAGTTTTTCTTTGAGAGCACTGTTCGTCTGTTTGATATTCTGAATCTAGGGGGGAAAATGATTTTCATTTAAAAATGACGACTTTTATAAAGTTATGAAAAGACAATGGAGCTAAAAAAACTAAAGAAACAAAAAAACCAAGAGCAAAGAAGTTTCTAACCTCTAATGCAGCCAGAATTTGAGGTCCCTACAGTATTCCTGGAGAGCACCTAACTAGATTCCTTAATTTGCTTGCTCAGAGCAACAGATAAGGGACAACCAAGGAGAGGATGGTGGCACAAAGAATCCTGAGTGAGTATATAACCCTGATCCTCTAGTTTCTAGGAGGAACCTGCGCAGCAAAACACTCATCTAGCGTCTGACACAACCGACGGGAGACGAGATGCCTGGGCTTCCCACCCCGCAGAATCGAGCTCAAGGGACGGAGCAGCCACAGGCAGGCTGGAGAGGTACAGGCTTCACAGCAGAGCTGCAGGCACAGCCCAGTGCCCGGGGCACGGTGCCGTCCAGGCACAGTGCGGACTCTACACAGGGCCAGGGTGCACAAGGGCAGATTTCTTTGACGGGGGGAAAAAAGGAAGGAAAATGTCAGCTAGTTTTTCGTGAGCCTAACTTTGATCATCTAGAACTTCATCTAGAACTTTTCTTATAGATTAGCTCTTAGCACATTATTGCTTTGGCCCAGTGTACCTAATCTTTCGCTGCCCTTGCCCAATCAAAAGAGACACAAACAATACCAACCCAGCGACCGAGCCGGGGCTGCTCTTTCATATTCCCTGGGCTCCTGAACGCAGCAGGTCCTCCGAGTATGCCCTGTGCCCTGACCTCGAAGGAGAGGGACGTGACTGCAGTCGAGCACTAGGGAAACTCTATCATCTTTCGTCTTTGAATAATCACAAACAAAGAAGAAACCAAGGGCAAGAATAGGCTGACTTTCCCAATCAAACACCAAAGACATTCATGAGTAGAAGATGCTCCCAAAAAAGAAGGAATCTTACTAGTAAACGAAGAAAAGGCAAACATTAGAGGTGGGGAGGAATAACAGAGCAGTGGAGACAGTGGAGGGTAGGGAAGGAGTGGCGACACTGTTGCATGGACACCTTCAAAAATTCTATCTTCTTTTTAAAAGACTTTTCATACTTACATCAGTATTTGAAATTCCATTTTTACAAGTGCTTAGATTTTACAGAATTCCAGTTTCACATCTTTCCCTCCTATGTTTTATTTTTCCTAAAAGGCTTAAAAACGGAGGAGGATGTGCAGGAAAAATTTTCTGCACTGTGGGACCAGTGGCCAAGCAAACAGGACCAGCGCCCTACAGACCAGAATCTGACCCTGCTCACCATTAGTCAGCACCTCAGAGTCCGCCAGAAAGAGCCCACTCCAGACCCTTCTGCATTTACACCAAAACAAAATGACAGCTGCAACGAAAATTTCAGGAAATGTGCAAAAAATTCACCCTACAATAAAAACCACAGACGGGGGCCTTGATTTATTGAAATTTATTTTAATTTACTTTGTTGTGAAAAGGTACAAATCAGAAGAAAACAAATTTGTACTAGAACTTGGCCTTTTGCCTCACTGCACTCCTGAAAGCAAGATGGTCACCAGCAGCTCTGCCGGAGCCACCCGTGACAGTCTGACCGGGCTCTCGCTCGTCGCGTCTGCTCAGAAATGCGGCCTTGCTACGTGCCGCCAGGGCTTCTGTCGGCGTGGACGACACCGGTTTCATTATGTTGCACTAAGTGATCTTTCCGGAATGGATCATCCGAGGCATCCACTCGGTGAAAGAAACCATGCTAGCTCTTTGCATATAAAATAAAATTTAAAAAGAACAACCAAAAAAGGAACTTTACTTGCAATTAAGTTCCCGGGAAAGTGAAGCCAAGCTCTCAGACCAGCAGTATCCTAAAGGACTCTCTGTGATGATGGGAACAGTCTAAAGCTGTGCTGGCTTATACGGTCGCCACACGTTGCTATTAAGCCCTAGAAATGTAGCTTATGTGACTGAGGGATTGAATTTTTATTTTTTCAACTGTAATTAATCTAAACTTAAATTTAAATGACCACATATGTGGCTGCTAGCTACTGTGCCAGACAGCACTGTTTTAGGCTCATGCTCAGGGTTCTTCCAGTTACCAAAAAATGGTGAAATACTGTCCACTGAATTCTTCTTAGGGTATAAACTCAACTTAGAAAGTTCCAACAGGAAAAGGCAGGGCCTATAATATCGCGTGGACCTCAGCATTCCAGTGGAATAGGCTGCTCTCTCCACTCTAGCTGGTTGCTCACAGGTGGTACAAACCTGGGTATATCTGCATTGTGCTTAAGTAACAAACATTTAACAAGGAGACTAACATATTTAGCAAATGCCTTTTCTATCTAAAATCAATAAAGTAGCATAGAGATTAAATGCAAAACATCCACAAATTCTGAACCAAAAGTTAGCTCTAAATGCTCAGTAGTCTACAACTTTATTCCTGATGTATTTTCCACATCAGAAATATCTAGGTTTATTAATAAGAAAATGACAGGAAAGGAAGCAAGTGGCAGTAAGCCGGATAAGACAGACCAAAGACTAAAGCAAACCGCATGGCCTGGCACCCTATCTAGACTACTCAAAGACAACTTTTTTCCACTTTATTGTGTGATTAGTGATCAATTCCTCACTAATGTCAGACTATTTAATTCTCCACTCAGAGAAAGGCTGAATGCAGGAGCTCACTGGCGAATCTAACAGACATGCCCAGCCCCCTTTCTATGCCTCTTCCACAGCGGTGCCGCATCCCTGGAGCTGGCAGGAGCAGTATGCAAAGTCAGGGCAGGCAGAAGTCTGCTACGGAGTTTCTGGTTACTCTCTTGCTTTTCCTGCTACAAGGGACAGACAGGTTAGCTCCGCCTCCATCTCCTCATCTTACTACCCTGATTGCAGACGCCACGGCTTCAAAATGGCTTCTGCAGCTTCCAACTGAGGCCACAAGCGAGATGAAAAGCCAGTAAGCAAAGAGCGGCAGAAGAGAAAATCTGAAAGCACCTGGGTTGTTCAGAGCATCACTGAACAAATGAACTAATATCAGCAACCACTGACACTGTGACTTCTTGCTATTTGAAAAAAATAAATCCTTAACTGTTTAAGCAATTGTTAGTCAGGTTTCTTCTTATTTTCAGGTGAATGTATCCTTGATATGCCACTAAACATAGGGACATCCTGAACAAATGGCCCTTGTGGACTGACTGCCACTTTGAGTCTAGAAGAGTATTTGGTGGTGAACTTGCGATTCCACTGTGGCCCGAAAAGGCTGTGGGAAGCGAACAACCTCCTGCCTCCCTTGGTGAGACGAAGCCCCCTCTTGATAAGTATGAGCTATCTTAAGATTTAAAAAACTCCTGCTCTTGACCCTGTTCTGAAAACCAAAGAATCTTTTCTCTCTCACACTACAGAGTCAGTGACACCTCTGTGGAAGAGGAAGGCTTTTTTTTCTTTCCTCAACATGTTAACATCAAACAGCAACCACTAGCAACTCATTCAGCAGAGGGAGACGAGAACACAGAAAAGAGCTCACAGCCCTTAAAATGCTCTCACACAGCAGCCCCGATATATTCTGTGAGATCAGGCAGGCAAGGATTAACCTCCTCATTTGAAAAGAGGCCCAGAAAGATTAAGTGATTCTGCTAAGATTAGAGTTCAGCTATGCCAACAGCCAAGACAAGAAGCCGGTCCTCTGATTCCAAGGGGCATGCTTGATCCTGGTCTGTGCCACCTCCCTGAACCAGAAGGTAGACCCCACCCTTCTCATCTAATGAAATGACAGCTGGTCTCCCACTTAACCTTCCAACGGCATTGTCAAGATTAACAAATCAAAAGCAGCAAAAACCAATAATATATGTCAGTCCACAATTTGCTGATGGTTTTCTGGAACTGAATTCGAGGTGGAGGGAATGAGAATGAACTAATGAAAGTACGGTCCTAGGCTACGAGGTTGAATTTCCAGTTTAAATGTACTATGCAACCAGATTAAAATGATAAGCCATTTTTACACAGCAGGCACAGATAATTACAGAAGAGAATGTATAAAACGATATCCTTTCATTCCTAGCTTTGAAGGATAAATACATAAATAATAATACCCTTTATAAGGACACCAGAAAAAGTACCAATTACACAGGAATAACTAACTCTAACAACGGAGCTGTAAGTCCTATACCCCGAAAACAACAAAACATTGAGAGAAATTAAAGAACTATGTAAGTGGAAGGGTACATCATGTTCACTGATCAGAAGTATCAATAGGCTCAAAATCTATTTTTATCTGGAGACACAATAAAATCCCAATCAAAATTCTGACAATTATTTTTCCAGAAATTGATAAAGTAATTTTGAATTTTATATGGAAACACAAAGGCTGGGGATAACCAGGAGAATTTATACTACACCAGATACCTAAGTTTATAAAGTACGTACAACCAGGACAGCACATATGCGTGAAGGCTGGACAAGCACCTCAGCCAGACCCACACACAGACACGGGATTTAACACAAAGGTCCTGTGTGTTACAGTGTGAATAGTACTTGGTCACACAGATACCCACATGAAAAAAGCAATGACTATTAACCCTACACCTGACAACATGTACAGAAAAACATTTCTAGGTATACTGAAGATCAAATGTAAAAGGCAAACAACACTTCTAAGATAACACGAGTATCTTCATGACCTTGGAAAAGGTTCTTAACAGAAGTCAAAAAAACCCACCATTTGAGCTCAGGAGTTAGAAACCAGCCTGAGCAAGAGCGAGACCCCGTCTCTACTAAAAAAAAATTAATTGGACAACTAGAAATATACAGAAAAAATTAGCCAGGCACGGTGGCGCATGCCTGTAGTCCCAGCTACTTGGGAGGCTGAGGCAATAGGATCACTTGAGCCCAGGAGTTTGAGGTTGCTGTGAGCTAGGATGACGCCACGGCACTCACTCTAGCCAGGGCAACAGAGTAAGACACTGTCTCAAAAAAAAAAACTCCACCAACCTGAGAAGACTGATAAACTAGACTGTCTTAAAAGTAAGAATTTCTGTTCATCAAAACATACCACTGAGAGAGTAAAAAAAGCAAGCTACAGAATAGGAAACATATTTTTAATACAAATAGGTAGAAAACAACTCAGAACCTGAATGAAGAACACCTATAAACCAGTAAGAAAACATACAATCCAATAGGAAAAAAATGGACAAAACACTTCAAAAGACATCACAGAAGAGGACATCCAAATGGCCAAGAAGTACATGAAAAGGCGGGCAACCTCATCAGTCATCAGGGAATTGCAAAATAAAACAGTACAATGAGTTATCACCATAAACCCACTAGTAAGACTACAATTTACAGACCACCAGAGTGCTGGCAACCATGCAGGGCAATGGATCTCCAATGGGGGCAATTTTGCCTCTGGGGGGTAATTTGGCAACACCTGGGGACATTCCTGTTGTCACAATTGGTAGGGGAGGATGGTGCCAGCATGCAGTGGGTGGAGGCCAGGCACAATGCTAACCATCTCACAACACTCAGGACAGCCTAAAATGTCAATAGTGCTGTAGCTGGGAAACCTGGATGTGGTGTAACCAAAACTCAAACTGACAGGACCACCTTGGAAAACGGTGAGAATGCTGGACATAAGTGCACTCAACAGCAGCAATTCTACTCATGCGGATACACAGAGATGTGCCCAACAGAGATGCACACAAGATGCATCAAGAGTCATATAAAACAGGCCGGGCGCGGTGGCTCACGCCTGTAATCCTAGCACTCTGGGAGGCCGAGT